GACCTTGCACTGTCTGACTACCATTTGTTTCGATCTCTGCAGAATTCTCTTGATGGAAAAACATTGGTCGACAAAAGAGCTGCCGAAAATCACTTGAAAAAGTTTTTCGCCGATAAACCACAAAAGTTCTACACGGATGGAATTATGAAATTACCCGAAAAATGGCAAAAGGTTATAGATAATAATGGCCAATATATACTTGATTAAAATTGATTTTCAATAAAGAAAAATTTCATTCAAAAATTGAACAAAAAACCGCGGATACTTTTTAAATGACCCAATATATGTTTGATCACTGCACGAAATTCGTTTTTTTCCATTTTGCAAAAAATACTAAGGTTGTTCGCTTTAATCGTCTAAAGAAATGAAACCACGCGATGAATTCCGCTCAAAATTTGACAGTAATTAGCAGTAATTAGCTGAAAGATGCTACTTTACTCAAAAAGTAATGTGACATGACACTGCTCTGACAGATTTTCTAAGAACTTATTGACTTGCCCTTGTAGGCTACTTGATAAAATTAAAAAAAATTTTTTTTAATAAAAAATTCAGTCATCTCAAATTTTTTAAATAGCACTGTGGCGACTCGCTACCAGAGGTCCAACAGGACTCGCTCGGATTCGCGTGAGCACCGCAGCCACGCGAATTCTCTTTAAATAGAATATCAATCTAAAATTCATTCTAAGGCAGGGCCCACACTGCATCGCCTTATTGATGAGTCTAGTAGTGGGATCGGGACGAAACGCTGCGATCGACCAAAAGCTTCGAGTTCAGGCCTCCTTAGTGAACACAAATCATCATATTATTTCCGTACAGACATTCACAGTACTATACAATTTTTTTTCCATGATATTGTAGAGATCTTAAAGACGAATTCAAATCACTATTGAAATGTCATTTTTATTGATTTTGTTGATATTTAATATCAAATTTGCAGCATTATTTGTAATAGCAGTACTTACAACCTTTGTGTCTAGAAGACACAGAATATATATATACTTATTTAACTTTCGAGTTGGTATGTGGAGTGTCTAAGCACCAGATATAATTTTTCTTAAATATTTCATACTTTTAGATTGGCAACAGAGCTTATCGATTTAGTATCTTCCTATTATTAATTACTTGACAGTTTGAAATGATAATGGCTTATGGATATTGAACAGTAAATAGTAATAGAGCGTCAAACATAGTGGGAGTGCTGTAAATATTTCATCTACAAAAATCTATCTACATATCTACTCAACGGTTAATAAAATATACAATAAAATCAAAACATCAATAATACACTTGACATTTCGATAGTGATTTGAATTTGTTGTCATGTTGTAGCCTGTATAAACAGATGAATATTCACCTTTCAATTTTTTTTTAAACTGTTAGAAGAATCATGCGGACCGTTAAGCGAGGAGCACAGACTCTTACATAATGCACATGAGGCATAAGAAAATGAACCAATTAAAGTGCTTTATTTCTTTCCTTTCCGTGAAATAAAAGACTCTGATTGGTTGATTTTCTTATGCCTTATGTTTTATGTGTTATGTAAGAGTCTGTGCTCCTCGCTTTACGCTGAACATCCTGTGAGTGAATAAGGATGTAATATGCCATATCTGTAAATGTCAGCGTGCAATCTTTGTAAAATGTGGGAAAGGGAGGGATGAAAGGAGTTTATGTGAATTGGTTGGACGACGATGACAATGATGATATTCCTTAAAATGTTTGAAGTAAGGAATATGTATGACCTCAAGACAAATAGGAGTCCAAGAATAAAATAATGTTACAATAATAAAAATAGAAAAGTAGAAGTTAGAATATAATTAACTGTTCCCTAGTAAAAATTTGTCTCAGAATTTTTCATATAATTTTTTAGAATTTCTATATATAATTTTTCAGAATTTCTCTATAACTTTATAACTTTCTCACATTTTTTTATACGAATTGGAATATTTTTCAGAAAATCTTCATCTTTTCTCAGAATTTTTCATATATGTTAATTATGAAATATCGTAAGATTTTTAAGATTTTTTGTAAGTATAATTTCTGATGAAATGTTAAAAAATCTAAAAAATTTAAAAATATTTTTTAAAAATTATGGGATGAGAAATTTTAAAATATTTCAGAATTCACTTGTATGAGAAGTTCTGAGAGAAGATGTAAACTTTCCGAATATTTCTGAGTATTTCTGAAAAATGTTTCAATTCGTATAAAAATTATGAGAAAAATTTTCACCAGGAATTAATATACAAAATCTAATCGTAATCGCATTACATGTTTCGGCTGTAAGTTCGAGCCCTCCTTAGATGTACAGAATATTTTATGACTCATGGATATTCTTTGACTGTTACTGACGATATGGATATTTATCATCGACACTTGGATTGTGCACAATGAAAAAAGTTTTTCAATCGATCTTCCAACCAATTGACAAGCAATTTTTATTTCCTCTAATTCAAATATTTCACCCATCACGGATTTCATACTGATATGATATTATGTATGACTTTTTGCGGTTGCGCTTCGTCTTACACATTGTATATTTCTTATAGTGTATTTCTATTGTGTTCTATACATCTGAGGAGAGCTCGAACTTGCAGTCGAAACATGTAATGCGATTAAGATTAGATTTTGGTATATTAACAGTTAATTCTAACAGTTGCTTTTGTATTTTTATTGTTATAACACATTATTTTATTCTTGGATTCCTTTTATTCTTGAGGTCACATATTTACTATTTTAATATTAAAGGTCCTGTTTTCGCCTTATTTTTGAAATAAGGATTTGTGATAGACAATGAGAGAAGGGGAGGGGGAGGGAGGAAGGATGGAGGGTGAGGAGGCAGGGGGAGGGAGAGAAGGAGGAGGGGCGATGAGAGGAGGAAGAGAGGGAGGGGGATAGGAAGGGGGCATAGGTGAGTAAGAATCCCTGATAGCAAAATGTTAGCAATTTTGAGCTAAATTGGCAGCAAACTCAATCAGACTTTGACTACAAAACCATAGCTGTATCCGCATTTGGCTATGAATTTGACGACAAAGTCTGACAGGCTATGCCAGCAGATTGATGGTAGAAACCGAACAGAGTCTCGAATCAGATTGTGTTCCCAATCTGCTCTCAATCTGCCGTCAGATTATGCAGCTTTGTTCGGTTTCTGCTAGCATAGCATGTCTAATAGCAGGCTTTATTTTCAACCATATTTTTAACAACAATTTGCTGACTATATCAAATAGGACAATTTGTTGCCTTTCTGCAATTAAAAATTGGTAGCAGGCTCTGCTCAAAATCTGTTTCCGCAAAGCTTTGCTATCAAGATAATTGCGTTGGACTGAACCGTGTTGAAAAATGTCGGAATGTTTTGAGATGTATTACGATGTTTAAAGTGGGAGAATGAGATGGATATGGAGGTAGGAAAGTGTGTGGATGGATAAAAGTGATAGGCCATATCAATAAGTGTCAGCGTGTATCGAAATCTTTGTGGAAGGGGGAATAGATTCGGGTGAATAGCATGGGTGGAGGTGAATATATGAGTGTGGAGAATACTTGAAATGTGGGTATATTCGAATAATAATTGTCGATTTGACCGAATATCGGACACGACGACGATGACGTTTCTTAATAAAATTTTACATAAAAATTGATCTCTTAATATTTAGAAAAAAATAGACTTTAATTACATAATGGGACCCAAAGCTATTGATTGAGCCTATCAAAAATTTCGTTCACGTAGTCGTTTATTAAATATAATCCAGCAAACACATTAAATTATATGTAACGTATATGTAATTTCCCACTTAATAATATAACTGTAACATAACGTACGTCTTATATTACAGTTATGCTGTAGAGTGGGAAATTACAATTAATAGACTACGTTTACACGATTTGATTTATGCCGATAACAGTGATGTTAAGAAACTGATTAACCACAGTCATTCCATTCTTTAAAGAAATAGTTATGATTGGCCAGTTTCATAAAATTGATGTTATAACTTCGTAAATCGAGTCGTGTAAACGTAGTAATATATGTTATATGTAACTTGATGTTTGCTGGGAACAATGTTTTCGATCAACTTGACAGTTCGAGTAAAAATACATTATAGTGTCTTGTGCGCCCTGTACAAGCGCGTATACTTAGCGCGAGACACTACCGTCTTTCGTCTTAAGCAATAAATAAAGCGACCATAGAAGATAACATACTGTTTTACATTTTTTACTGTAATTGGCCGATTCGCTTACATCTTACTGCTTTATTTTTTTGTGTTTCTTAATTTATTATTTTTATTTTTTAAATAAAATTGTATAACATGTAAATTATCATGTAATCATCTAAATATGAGAAACTAATTACGATCAAAATTAAACTCTACATATATATGTAAATAAATTTGATCTCAGAAATATGATTGTGCGATTAATTACTTTCGGATTTTCAACACAATCAATCTCAAATAATCTCCCCAAATTTATTAATTAGATCGTTAATTTGATGCTATTAGCATTTTAAAAACTGTAAAGAACTATTGCGAAATTGCGAAAAATACTATCTCGGTCAGAATTTGAATCCGGAATTTCATATTTTATACGATTGTCTTTACCGATTGACTACCGAGATTTTAGCCATATTCTTCGCAATAATTGTAAATCAAATGTAATAATTGTAATAAATCTTTTTCTTTGTTTGTCCTAATAGTATCAAAATTACTTATGTTGTTCTGTAATGATAACAGAAAAGTAATTGAAAAATTACTTTTTGTGTAAGTATGACTAATTTGTTACTTTTTATAGCCAATAATTTGTAACGGTAACTAGTTATTCTTGAAATAAAAAACTGTAACTAGTTACTTTTGCAAAATAATTTTCTCAATTCTGATACATTCCTCTCCGCCTTCGCTTAAAGAAATTATTTCACTTAATTGTTAAACCCGAAATATCTGGTCGTATTATATATAACAGATACATTACAGATGAACGTATAATTGAATTGTTATAATTATTTAATAGTACTATACTTGTGACCATTACGTTGACTTGGAGAAACAGCTCTATTTTCTCCTTCTCTAGTCTTCAATATAAATGTTGGCCGTTCTACAATCTTAATCAGATTCTTGTTTTCTCCATCTTTAATCTCCGAATCCTTTGACATCGTTGGTAACATCTTTTTCACACTTGTAATAAATTGTCCCTGTAATAAAATAAAGTGTATACGTATACATATATACATACATATGCACGCACGCACGCACGCTTCACTTTTTTATTATAAAAAAGGAAAGAACGCAGAAAAAATTTATCGTGTTTATAGGAAGAATGCTCTAATTCATAGGTTCCCAACGTGGACGTTATCTCCCTCCGGTGGGCGCTGAGGAGATCTAAGATGGCATTGCTAGTTCTAAGAGCAGTAGAAGGGTATTGAGGACAAAAGAACACGCTAAAGAAATTTAATCTCCTAAATATTTTCTAAATAAATACTTAAACATTCACTTAAATATACAAATATTACAATTATACATTTTTATAAGAATCAAATATGTCAATCAATCCTCCATACATATTGATTTAAGTTGTATGACATATAAGGTTTGTTTTTTATGTTTCTGTGCAATTTTTTCGGCTAATGTTTTCTTGTACGGAATAATCGAAATAACTGCATCTGTGTATGTTTTGTCAAATTCACTAATAGAGTGCGGACATTCGTGCATGATTTCATGTTGCGCGCTGACTATCGCTGTGTGAGTAATATTTTTTATTTATTTTGTTTCTGTAATTTTCTTTTTGTTGCTTTATTTAGAGATAGTTTGCCGGTTACCTGATTTACCAGTTTATCCGCGAAAGGGTTAAACTGAATAAAAAAAAATTTAGAAAGGGGGCGATATAAGCCAGAAAGGGTTGGAAAACTATGCTCTAACTAGACAACAGTGAATTGGTTTCATTGATTTCAAGATAGAAATTTCAATGTCAAAAATGCATATCGTTCTGGTCGTTCTATTGTGGAAAATGTTGATGAAATCTTCCAAAAAACTGAAGAAAATCGTTATATGAACAACTATGACATAGCTAAGAAGTCAAACATTGATCATAAAATCGTTTTGGGATTTTACTTGCGTAATACTGGATACACAAAGAAACTCGATGTTTGGGTGCCACATGATTTGACGCTAAAAAAATTTAATAGATCGAATTTCCATAGATCGAATCGCTGCTGAAACAAAACGAAATTGTCTTTTCTGAAAAGATTGATAACGGATGATGAAAAGTGGACAACATATGATAATGATGTTCGAAAAGGATCGTGGTTGGAACGAGATGAGGCACTACAAACAATCGCAAAGCCCAGATTAAAGTGATGCTATATGTTTGGAGAGATTGGAAAGTAGTCGTCCATTATAAACTACTGCCGCCAGGCAAAACGATTGATTCTGATCTCTATTGTCATTCACTAATGTGAATGGAGCAATTCATTCAAGAAAAGCAGCCAGAATTGATCAATAGAAAAGGTGTTGTCTTCTATTATGACAATGCTAGGCCACATACGTCTTTGACGACAAAAATTGAGAGAGCTTGGCTGAGAAATTTTGATGCATCTACCGTATAATCCTGATCTTGCACCATCCGATTATCATTTGTTTCGGTCTTTGCAAAACTTCCTTAATAGAGTAAACTTGATTTCAAAAGAGGTATACGAAAATCATTTCGGTTTTTTACCGAGAAATCAGAAATTCTATATCGATAGAATAATGGTTCTACTCGAAAAATGGTAAAAAGTCATCGATCAAAACGACACGTATTTGATTTAATAAAAGGTTTGTAAGCAATTTAAAAAATATGTTTCAATTGTGTTCCAACTTGTAAAAAGACACTTTCCTTAATCCAATATATATTATACATATATAAATAATGTATAAATAAAAATAGATCATTCTTTTATACAGGGTGTTTGGAAAATAATCTTTCGTATAGGAGCAGAATGGATTGAGAAGAAAAGTCCTGTACCATTTTGCAATTTTTGCAATAATTAACAAAATATTAATTGCTAAAAATTGCTGAAAACTGATCTTCAATATAATTTTTTACTCAAATACTATCAATTTTACAGAAAAACTGTAAAAGACAAAAATTATTTATTTTCTTGTCATAAAACTCTACGAACTTTTTCAGAATTTTTTATCAACTATTTAGTACTGCATTTTTCCATTCTTACCAACATGAGAAAATACATATTAAAAAATTCTGAAAAAATTCTAAAAAAATTCTTAGAGTTCTATGAGAAGAAAATAAATAATTCTTTTCTTGCTGTTTTTGTAAAGTTAATAGTATTTGAGTAAAAAATTATCGAAGATCAATTTTCGACAATTTTTAGCAATTAATATCTTGTTAACTATTGCGAAAATTGGAAAATGATAAAAGACAGCTAGTTTTTGATGACACATACACACGCACACACACACACACACACACACACACACACACACACTGAGTATTTGGAAAATAATGATAAATCTTTCGCATAGGGACAGAATGGACTAAAATGAGAAAAAATGTCTTTTATCATTTTGCAATAGTTAACAAGATATTAATTGCTAAAAATTGCCGGAAATTGATCTTCGATAATTTTTTACTCAAATATAAATTTATCTAAAAAATGTTTCAGACAAAAGTAATAGAGTTTTAGAAAAGTTATCAGATGATGATATTAATTTGATCTTGGAATGACTTTGGAAAATGCTTTTAAAGTCAACACAAAAATCTTAAACAAAATCAGTGTTCTGGAAACGGCTCAACGTCAGTTATAAAGATATGCTAGAAAAAATAGGGAGTTTTGTTTAAGATTTTTGTGTTTAAAAGCACTTTCCAAAGTCATTCCAAGGTTAAATTAATATCATCATCTGATAATTTTTCTAAAATCCTTTTATTTTTGTCTCAAACTATTTTTAGATAAATTAATATTTTTGTAAATATTAGTCATTCTAGAACTTTTACCACTATAACACTAAATTTCTTGAAACTTACGACTGATAAACTTACGATCTTGCCTTTTTCTTTATCTTATAACTTATACTGTCAACTTTTACTGATATCAAAGATTTTCACAAACTTGTTACAATCCAAAATGGTCCCTTGTCAGTGTATGAAATTTCCGAGCATTTTTCTTTTAAAGAGAGTGTGATGAATTTTACAAAACTATAATACATATACGATACATTATTCAGATACATATGTTAATTATAATATCTAGAAAAATTTCATTAATTTTTATAGTGCCGTTTTAAAGATATATTGGCAGGGAAAGTGGAGGAATTATGCGGTTTGGTATTTTTTCAATAGATGAAGACATCACCGTGGTGGAATTTTTATACAGGAGGTCGTCCTCTTAAGATACAAAAGATACGACATAAATACATTGCTAGCCATGAAAATATAAAAAAGTGAAATCACATCTTTCTTATTATTTTAGCATTCAGAAAATAAGATAGGTATAAGTCTGTATTTTTAATTTGTTTGTTTAAAGTTGCATATAAAATACGTTATTATGTGCATCTTTTGAACTGTTATTTATTAAGTTTGGTTAGGAATTGTTGAAGTATTTTGTACCGAGTCAGGTCGCGGCGGGCAACTGCGCAAACGTTTTGCGCGCAATTACCCATCTTCCATATAATGTATAATTAACATTAATTTTTTCGTTTCTTCTTAGCATTATTATTTTATTTTGCCATTTTATTTTATCAAAGTCTATGTGTATTATTATATTCGTTTTATATTTTTTCTTAGTATATACAATATATGTTTAAAATATATTTAATATATATTTATATTACAATATAATGAATATGTTTTCTGATTTCTTTGTCAATATTCCACAATTCATTCATTTCTTACGACTTTTGTTTTGCGCACAATTATCCGAGAAATTTTTTCACTTTTTCCTTTTGGTTAAATACAATTTTATTGTAAGAAAATCTATTCGATATAAGGATACGTAATAGTAGAAAAATGTTTATAGTTTCTATTTCCATATTTATATCGCTTTAAACTTGGAAAACCATTCCAGGTTTCAATTCCAGGTATTCCAATAAATTTTCCTTAGATGCGCATAGTGTTCCTCCACTTTTCCCTAATTATTTAGAATATCCCATCTCATAAAATCTTAATCAAAATTATTCATTCAACGCATCTTCATTCAAAACCAAAGAATTTTGCAGAAAAACGCGGTGGTCAGCCTCATGAATCGAGTTACTAAGCGTTAAAATTGGAGACTTAAGATATCTCGACTCAATATAGCGCTATGTATACGTTCTGCATTAATTACACAAATTCACTGTTTTAAAAACAAATTCTCTACTTCATAAAACACAAATTCATTGCTATAAAAACACAAATTCTCTGCTTCACAAACAAATTTACTGCTAATGCAAAGAATTTATGTGTTTAAAGTAGTGAATTTTTGTTTTTAAAGCAATGAATTTGTTTTTTAAGGAGTAAATTTAAGTTTTTAAAACAGTGAATTTGTGTTTTTAAAACAGTAAATTTGTGTAATTAAAGCAGAATGTACACAGCGCAACATTGAGTCAGGATGACAAATACTTTAACCTCTAAAGTCTCCAATTTTAACGATTAATAACTCAATTCATGAAGCCGACCGCTGCGTTTTTTGCCAGATTCTTTTGTTTTGAGTGAAAACGCCTCAAATGAGTATATTTTTATTAAAATTTTAGGTGGAGTGAGATGTTTTAAATAATTACTGATATATTAAATTCTAAAATACATGTCTGGAATTTCTTATTACAAGGTAATTGTGTGTGTGTGTGTGTGTGTGTGTGTGTGTGTTTACTTTAGCCACTTCAAAAATCAATGACATTATACTCACTTAACGCGTTATCTCAAACGAACCGAAAAAAACGACACTCCGCCCCGCGATTACAAGGAGACCAATTCGGAGACGATTTACGTCATCGAGATTAATGCTATCAGTCGGTGCGACCAGTAGTCATACACTTAAGGTGCCTTTTCATGTCGATGCTCAATGTTTTCGGCATATATGTAATACTACTATATTGCTAATGGCAATTAAGAACTGCCGAAAACATCACGGTGCAGACGATCGCTTCTTACTTCCATAATTCGTGTACTTTCGCAATGCGCATGCGCGTGTTCCCAACCTATTTTATCATATTTTATTACGTTTATTGTGTCCGACGTGTTCAATAGTGAAGTTGAGTTTGTTATTTGGCCTATATAAAAGTACTATACAAAAAGTAAAGTACAATTATATATTTTAGACTTGGTATTTCTTTTAATTATACTTTATAATATCTAACCTCTACAATACGTGCATGAGTCCGCATGCATACATTCTCCGCATGCGCAAAGTACACGAATTGTGGAAGCGAGAAGTCGATTTTCTATCTCACTATCTTGGCACACCCCCCCTCCCTCACTCTCAAAAAGAGGCTGCAATATACAATAGTAGTATTACATATATGATTTTCAGCATCAAAATAAATCACGTGATAGAAATTGACGAATCTCAAGCGTAAAGCGGGGAGTACAGACTCTTGCATGACGCATAACACATAATGCACAAGAAAATGAAGTTAAAGTCCTTTATTTCCCGTCTTTCCATGAAATAAAGGACTCTGATTGGTTGATTTTCTTATGCCTCTTATTTTATGCATTATGCAAGAGTACATAAGCGAATCAATCAATCAAAATCTTTCTTTTCCTTCCATTTTACGGAAAAGGAGAATTTTTATTGGATGATTCTCTTATGTACTATGACTAATGCATAAGACATAAAACATAAGAAATTCAACCAATCAAAAGAACCAAAGTTCTTTATTTCATAGAAAGGAAGGAAACGAAGGACTTCGATTGATAAATTTTCTTATACATTACGTGTTATACGTTATGTAATGGGCCTTCTATCATAAACCATTAATCAGAAGTCAGAAGTTAAAAATTGACCAATCACAGTCATCAATTTTTAGCTTCTGACTTCTGATTTATGATTAATGATTTATTGTAGAGGCCCATAAAGCGGAGAGCACAGACTCTTGCATGATGCACACGTAATGTATTGGGTCATCTAAAAAGTATCCGCGGTTTTTTGTCACTAGATGTGTGTTGATGGTCATATATCTAGTGACAAAGTACCGCGAATACTTTTTAGATAACCCAATAATTGCTTACTATGCGACGCTCCTGGGACGTGCTACATATAGCACGATTATATGAACCAAATATCGAAATGCGATTATAAGTTTTGGACCGTCATGTCTTCTCTCAGGTTTCTCTCTGTTACATACATACATACGTGTAACCATGTGACAGTCATTACTTTTAACTTTTCCCGCAAGGTGTGATGACACTCACTGGAAAGCGTATCTGCCAGATTTTCCATCGGTTTTCCTACATCGTGTAGCTACTTTCAGATCTTGAGTTTGATTTTCTTTTTATTATTCCGTGATGGAAACTAATGACCATTTCCACCAATGTAGATTAACTTTAATCTCGGTTCAACTTAAATCGGAATCAGACTACGGAATTCAGACATTGGAGAATGAAAGATTGAAGATTGAAAGATTAAAGTTTGACCAATCAGAACAAAAGAAGCCAAACTTCCTTGTCCTTATTGATAAAATTTCAATTTTTAATCTTTAATCTCAATATTCAATGCATAATATGATTCCGGTCTTAGACTAATATTACATGCGTCCGTTTTTTGTCGTACGATCAATTTTTCAAGCGTATCAATTGGCTGTACGACAGAAAGGTCTCGGACCTCTTTGTCCTAAAGCCAATCGACAGACTTGAAAAAATTG